GCGCTCTCTAATGTTACGATTGACTCTACTTTTCGATACAACAGTGTCTCTGATAGGAACTGTAGTATCTGATATTGAAGTAAATAGTGATTTAGGGTAGTGCAATGGTTTTAGCTAGAACTGTCGTATGAAATGTGTGACATAAATCGATGAGTAATAATGTTTCGCCCAATTATAGGATTCTCTGGGCTTTCAAAAACTTACACATCGTTAAAAAATTATTTCTAGCCAGAGTTCGTCGAAATCATGGGCTCTTAAGGTAGAAACATCGATATTTCTGTACGAAACATGATCATTACACATTTCGATCATTGCTCATTAACTTATAAGCAAATGTGTAAAGATGACGGGAATGCCACTCTAGAATGAATGTCTTTATATTAATGGTATTCTCAAGTTCATTACATTTATTTCTTAGAGAAGATTTCACTTGAACTTAATCAAAAGTTGCAACAGATTTAAGCATCCTGTGTCAAGTCTTCTGATTCACGGTATACTATTCAAAACACCTGTAGGTTTAGGTGATTTTAAAATATCGAATAAATTATATGACTTCTGAGATCACAAGCCATCGATAACAGACGGAATTTTTGTTCAGAACAGTATTTCGTGGGTAGTGCAATCATCACAAAGAATAGGAAAACAGCTCTTATTCAACTTTTACCGTTTCCATGTTAGTTGGAGAATAGAATTGTACCCGTTCCAGCTCTACATTGGCAAACTGATACGTTTTAGTTGGGTAGCCAATTATATCTATAGTATACATGGTTTAGCATTATTTGGTTTTCTTCGAAGTCCATTTCATTGAATAAACTCAGTGCAATCAAACGCGTGATAGTTATCGACGATTTTTTCTCTTGCAATATTTAGTCTAATACATGCGTACTATTCATAATTTTGGACAAATTTGCTATCTGATATATTTATGCCAGCTCCAGTTTTTGTTGGGAGTCTAGTATCAGCAAATTGGACACCAGATACTGAATCTGATGCATTCCTATTAATAGGGGTGCACCAATTCCAATTCTTGGCTTGGAATTGTCGGAATTGGTTAGAATTGAAATTGGAATTGGTAGGAATTGGTCAGAATTGGAATTGGAATTGGAATTGGCCAGTATTGGCCGCAATCAGCATCGATTAGTGGTAGGTATGTCACAATTCCAATGCAGTATTGACCTATTGGTATTGAATAGTATTCGTATTGCTATATCCCTAATTTTTTCGCTCAAGGAGGATTTATTAAGAAAATAACGATTCTTTATAAACTTTGACCAAAGGTTTTCGGGGTCGAGGAATCCGAATCTACAATCAGTTTCTGACAATTTTGAGTTTCACCTTTTTACTAAAAAATATTTTTAGCAAAAAAAATCGATTTTTTCTTAAAAAACATTTTTTTTAAGTGAGAAAGTGATTTTCGTGTACTCAAACAGTGAGTACACTCTAGAATCGGTCAGTGTGGCCGTCCGTTCGTCAGACAGTTTACACGATAACTCTTGAGAAGATAAACCGATTGTCATGAAACTTTCTGCATAGAATTGTCTCATTGATATCTCGGTCGAGTGCGAATATGAGAATGATTCGTGAAGAAATTGTTGAGTTATCGCAAAAAATGTCATTTTTTCGTGTGCTTTTCTATGCAAACATGGACCTATCCTGGTTTTCGTAAAAACTGTTTTCTCATAATCAAAAGAAACCTCAACTATTATATACCATTCGATAGAGAATTTCACCGGTTACAAAATGGTATATAAAACATTAAGAAACAAGAAGGTTACTGCAAAGATACTTGGTACTAGTTTTTACTTTAAACATAGGAGCGATATACCATTCACATACAGCACTGTGTGATTGCGAGGGCACTATCACTAAAGTAAACTAGTACCAGATACTTAAACGGTAATTGCTCTTTTGTTTGTCCACGCTCTGATTGATCCAAAATGAAAGCCCCGTTTTTCGATCAGAGAAGCGATACTTTCAGGTTTTATTAAACTTCAACAAATATTTTCTGTGGCGGAGAACTTGAACCTGACCTCCACTTGCGTTGAATTCCTATTGGTTAACCAGCAACCAATAGAAATCGAGTTTTAGGAAAAACCGCTTGCTAGGATAATTTTCATGTGTACACATGCTATGATGACTCGTTCTTAGATAGTTTGATCAAAATCAATCTGTCATCAATTATTTTTACTTTTTGAAGTACACATAACACTCGGGATTAAATTCGATGTTTCCACACTCTAAATAAAAGTTGTTTTCTTGAAAACCCAGGAAAATAGGTTTCCAAGCGTTCGGAAACTCAAATAGGTTGCCAGATTGATTCCGGAAAACTAAATACGTTTCCGGACTAATCTCGGATATCTTTAGAATGTTGTTGAAACGAAAAAATGGGTTTCCGACTTTCGGAAACCTTAAAAACGTTTCAGACAGTGACAAACGCGGAAATGCTGAAGGGTTTCCGGAAAAAATGATTCGTTTCCAAAAATCCGGAAACTCTGTCATTTTCGAGGAAACCCTTCAGCGTTTCCGGGTTTGTCACTATCTGAAACGTTTTTCAGGTTTCCGAAAGTCGGAAATCCATTTTTTCGTTCCAACAACCTTCTAAAGGTATCCGACATCAGCCAGGAAACGTATTCAGGTTTCCGGAATCAGACTGGAGACCTATTTGGGCTTTCGAGCGCTCGGAAACGTTTTCCTGGGTTTCCGAGAAAACAATTTTTATTTCGAGTGCGCATTTATTTTGTTTAAAAAACTTTCTACACTAAAAGAATGTCTTCCAGAAAAAGCGATTTTTTCGCGAAAAAAGGTTTTTTGAAGTAAAAATGTCAAGCTCAATATTTTCAAAAACTGATTGCAGATTCGGATTCCTCGACCCCGAAAACCTTTGGTCAAGCTTTATAAGGAATCGTTATTTTCTTAAAAAACCCTCCTTGAGCGAAAAAATTAGGGATATAGCAATATGAATACTATTCAATACCAATAGGTCAATACTGCATTGGAATTGTGACATACCTAACACTAATCGATGCTGATTGCAACCAATACCGGCTAATTCCAGACCAATTCCAGACCAATTCCGACCAATTCCAACCAATTCCATTCCGATTCCATTGCAATTCCAATCAATTCCACACCAATTCCGACCAATCCCAATCCCAATTCCAATTCCAATTCCAATCAATTCCAGCCAATCCAAGACTTGGAATTGACTCGGATTGGAATTGTTGCATCCCTACCTATTAAGGAATGATGAAATATGACAGAAAACTAGATCACTTGTTTACTATCATGACCTATGTAAATAAATATCACTGTTACTACGCTAGATAATGACTCATTAAAATGAATCACAGCTACTTACTGGTGCCGAGATTATTCCAAATAAATTCATACTTTTATTTTAACTTGAGAATCACAAAATGCAGCTCGTAGATGTTATCAAACACCAAAGTCGATTATGTCGGATAGCGCCTAATAGAGGCTATTAAATGGTATGAAAAAGACACTCACGCAGTTGAATGAGGGTTTGCATTAAGAAAAACTGTGTCGACCAAAAATGCGTTTCTAGCACTGCTCAGTCGCAAAAGATAGATAGTATAATACAGGAGCTAACGTTATCCATTGACTATGTCGTACTATTTTTTCATTTTTTTCTGAGCTTTCACCATGTTTATTTAATACAAATTATTCTAAATTTCACAATAGGAAAATCATATAGACTTCAAGTACAATTTTAGAAAGATCAATTATAGTAATGACTTAAACCGATCATTTATCTCCTCTCTGCGTTGTTCTCTAGTATATATAAACTATGCTAGTTAACATAAAAGAAAGAGCACAAGAAAAACATGTGTTGAAATGAAACAATTATCGGTAGTAGAATCTAAAAAAATGACACATTCTTTAATCATTTTAAACCTTCAGTTTTGGCATTCCAGTGCAGTAAAACGTAGTAGAAAATAATATTTTAACAAAAGGAAAGAGTCTTGAATTTCTTCAGCCTTCACATTGCACTTTTAGTTTTTTTCGTTATCGAAATCCTTCTTCTTCCTTTGTGCATAGTATTTTATTCGACTTCATGTTACCCCACTCGAATATCGGAATCGAAAAGACAAGTTTTTATTGAGAAATGAGACGTACTTTTCAGTATTTTACAGAAATAAAATATTAGCTACGCTAGGATATTAAATTATGGACGAAGAACATTATTCGAATAAAATATGTTATGGCATACTACGTTTTGTCGTTTGATCATTTCGTGTTGATTTTCATTCGTTTTCAACAATATGGCACCCTAAGCTAGTCGACTGCATCATGTCGTATGTTATTCATTTCTACGTCTATTGCTGATTCCCAACGTAATTGCCAAATGCAACTGAAACAAAAATCTATGTAGACGGAAGTTTCTTTGAATGTTGAACCATTTTAAACAAATTCTCGGACCTCTTTGGATTGAAGCGAGTGATGAAAAAATGACCCACTTCGAGGTTTGATAACGATTTTAGTTGTCTTGATAATGAGATGTTAATAACTGCCACGTACAGTACCGTACGATATCGAAATTGAACTGCATCATAGTGCACTGTGAAGAGACACTAGTTATAGGTTCAAGATTGCGGTAGTTTAGTTAAATACAACTGTATACACGTTGTATTATTAACCTTGGATATCTATTTCTCGAGAGTCACAGTAATTTGTTGACGCTTCTCGTTGGATAAATGTTTGCTCATGAACAGTTATAAATAATGAACAAAGCATGTACATTTGAAGTGAAATTTGCATGATTAATAGATAGTTGTTCGATAGGACGAATCGAGCAGTTGTAGCGAGTCGAAAAGTAAATGGTTTGCTTCATGTGGACAACTTGTAATAGCAAAGTTAACTTCAGTTTCGTTTTCATAATTACTTTCTTTTTAAAGTCTTTTAAGATCATTCTTATTTGATTTATTTTTGAAATGTATATGTTGTGCAGCAAAAGTTTGATTTATATAGTTTTCTTACGTATGGTAGCGGCTTCGCCTCAAATAAATGTTCATCTCACAGATTTGACAGTTGGTGATGAAACTGATACTACGACAAATCACGATTGTCTGGTTATTGCTGCTTCAATTGAGAAAAAAAATGATCTTCGTCAGATCATTTCTTATTGTTTGAGTGAATGGCCATCGAAATGGAACATACAGAATGATACTCGTCATCAGATTTTTTCTTTTGCGGACCTTAACAAACAAAATATTACAAGTCAACAGTTATATCTCTGGTCGGCACCGATTGATATTATAGAAAACTATCAATTGTATTTGAATCAATTATCAATTTCAAATGAAACATTACTGGGTGCACAACTCTTCTACAATTGTTCATTGCCATCGTTTGGTCCATTGTGCCAATATTCATTTGATTATTATGAATCTCATTATAGATCGCTGGCTGAAGTAATTCATAATTTCTATAAGCACAACGCGTATAAACCTACTACATTGACATGTTACACTCATTTGAACTGCAATCGAGGTCCAGCTCCAGCCTGCCTTGATTGGACTGAAATCTGTGATGGAAAAGTGGATTGTCTTGATGGTGGATTAGATGAGCAAAATTGTTGGCAACTGGAAGTCAATGATTGTGAAGATAACGAACATAGATGTACCAATGGGCAATGTATTCCATATACATTCTTTCTTGATGAAGAGGCAATGCCTGATTGCCTTGATGGAACCGATGAAATTAGATATTTGTATAGTGAACTTTATCGGTGTAGTGACAAAGAGCCAACATTTGCTTGCGAAGATGTTACGTGTGTGATTAATCCTCGCATTTACGAATTCTCTCTGACAAGCTCATGTGTGAGAGAACGCTCCAACTTACTCTTAGAAGCAATGTTTTCGACTAAACCCGATTCGATATCTGATCTTTGCTGGAGTATTTACAAGTGTATTCTGCATATATCTTACAACTTTCATAACCCAACATGTCTAAGCCCTTGTCAGACGTACACATGTGCGGAAATACTAGAACGTGAATGTCCAGATATACTGTTTGTGCCATCTATTCCTGTGTTGTTTGGTCACATCTATTTTGCCTACAGAAAAAATGAATCAGAATTTAACATAATGTTTCCAGCGGCACCTACCTACGTATGTTCAAATGAGCGAGCTTTTACTGAGTTCTTCATCTTCAAACCACATATTTCATTCCACAATACTACATGTTTCCGCCTTTTAGACATTGAGCTATCCTACCTAGACAGGATGGGCCGAAATGTCTTAGTTTATGTTCAAAGTGCCTATCTTAGTTTGTGGGCACTAAATTCGATTCTTCCTAATAACTCGATACTTTGTAAGAGACATAACATGTACCAATGTGTTAATTCCACGAAATGCATCTCCAGATATCGTCTCAATGATGGTATCCGCGATTGTTTTTATCATGATGATGAGCAAATCACTGCAGACAATAACACTTGTTCCACGGAATCATTTGGAAAGCATTTCTTTTGCAAGAAGAGTAATCGATGTATTTCGTATAACATTGTTACAGATGGCAGATGCGATTGCACAACAGATAACTTTGCACTGTGCGAAGATGAAAACCTTGATGAGTTCTCTGCCCTTTACCACATATCATTTCAGACCATCTGTGATGGTTTCACTGAACTTTTACCTGTGAATATCGATGGTCTGAATGAAACAGATGAAACAGAATGTGAACAATGGTTATGTAATAATACTTACACACATTGTGATGGTATCTGGAATTGTCTTGATGGAGCTGATGAAGTCGATTGTGATCAATCACTCATAATACAATGTCCCTTACACAATCACTTGTGTGTTTCGCCTGAAATAAACCAATTGATATGTCTTCCTCTTCAAAAAGCAAACGATGCCAATATCGACTATGTTGGTGCGAGTGATGAACCAAAATTATGCCGATCATATGATTTTTCACATTCTAGCATTTCTTTTCATTGTAAAAACGATGCTTATCTACTTTGCTTATGGTTTGGTAGATTGTGTGACGCAACAAACGACTGTCAACATGAAGATGATGAACAGTTTTGTAACATTACATATTCCGAAGGTTTTGACAGAATATGCACCATTGAGTTCGCATCGGCACGTTCCGATTTGGAAGAATTTGCTTGCAAACGCTTCAATGCAAGAAAAAAGCAAATAATAATGGATTTTTCACTTGACAGACTTCCTAACTCAATCAGTCATGATAGTAAACAAGATGCCACAATATCTTTATCAAATTCGTTAACAAATCCACGAATTCATCATCTTGATAATTATTGTCATCGTGGTCTTATTCTTCGAGTATTCTTAGATCGTAAAAAGAACTTAACTACTATGACTTGTCTCTGTCCACCTAGCTTCTATGGAGATAAATGTCAATACCAAAATCAACGAGTGAGTCTTACTATGCGACTGCAAGCTTTGTCTGATGCTTGGAAAATACCTTTTGCCATACTGGTATCACTTATTGACGACAGTGACGAGCGAATCATTCATTCTTATCAACAATTCACTTATCTACCTATGCGGGACTGTCAAATAAAATTTAATGCCTATCTG